AAAAACAAACAACATTGGTGCACCCCTTTAATCCCAGCAATACGGAGGCAGAGGCAGGCAGATCTCTAAGTACAAGGCCAACTAGGGCTACCCAGAAACCAAAAAAAGAAAAAGATGTGGATGCTGGGAACAGAACTCAGACCCTAGGAAGAACAACAAGGGTCTGAAGTACTGATCAATCTCTCCAGTCCCACTAGGGAGAACTTTCTAACAATAAAAACAATTATAATTATTAATAAATATATTAAGACACAGGGTCTCATTATGTAGCCTGGGTTGACCTGGAACTTATTATGTAGACAAACTAACAACATTGAACTGGAAACCTAGCCAGCTACCTAGGGTGAGTGAAGTCATGGGTCTTGGTGGAGAAGCTACCACTGCCACTTTACTAAAGCAGCACAGACCCTAACTACATTCTAAACATGCATCCTTACACCACAGAGCAGTGTAGTCCCTGTCTTTGAAACAGACAGAGTCCAATACAGAAAACCACAACCCATCAAATTGCAGAGTTGTGCAGCCCAGTCCCAGCTAATATGTTACAGCACAGCTCCTGCACCTGCGCCTCAAGGGTCACTGTGGAAGAGGGATAGGAAGATATAAGAGCCAGAGGAGCAGAAAGTTTTCTGTGAGACTGTATCTCCTAGATAAGTCAGAGAGGCACTTGATTCACAGAGGCAGGCACATCTCTGAGTTTGAGGCCAGCCTAGTCTACATAATGCATCTACATAATTGAGAGATACTGTCTCAGAAATAAAAAATGCTTCTAAGGTCCTCAGTCGCTTTTGCTCTGGCTCTTAATAGTTGTTAACAGTTTTGTATGATTGAATAATTTTCATTTCCTACAGTATTGCTACAACAGGATTTAACACTGTTTGACCAGGTGATGTTGTTATGTATCTTCAAAGTCACTGAAACACTATCTTCACTACCTCACATTCCTCACCATCATTCATTCTTTGTTTCTAGACAGGGTGTCTCTGTGTAGTCCTGGCCTTCCTTGGAACTCACTCTGTAGACCAGGCTGGCCTCAAAATCACAGACATCTTCCTGCCTCTGCCTCCCACATGCTGGGATTAAAGGTTTGTGCCATTACTGCCTGACACTGTCACTCTTTTTTACAGAAGCCAGCTGTGACAGTAAGTTTTCACACTTTGGAGATAGCATATTACTGGTTTGTTTTTGCGTTGGGGGGGGTGATCTGTTTTGTTTTATTGTTTTTTTAATTTATTTAATTTTATTTTATATGCATTGGTATGAAGGTGTGAGATCCCCTGGAACTGGAGTTACAGACAGTTATGAGCTGCCATATGGGTGCTGGGGTCCTCTAGAAGAGCAACCAGTGCTCTTAACCCCTGAGCCATCTCTTCAGTCCCTTGGGATTTGTTTTGTTTTGTTGTTGTTGTTGTTGTTGTTTTTTTTTGGTTTGTTCTTCGAATAGGGTTTCTCTGTGTAGCCCTGGCCTTCCTGGAACTCAAACTCACAGAGATCCACCAAGTGCTGGCATTAAAGGCAAGCACCACCACTCTCCAGCAGCATGTTGCATTTTAAATGAGACAAAGATTCTTGTTAGTGGGTAACAAGGAATAATTTTTGGTTTTGTTTGTGAGGCAGTACAAGTCAGAAAATGGGAAACAGAGGTCATCTCAGAGCATGTTTCAAAAAAGGCTAAACTCACTCAAAACAAAACAAAACAGAAAACTAAGCTAGACGTCAATTGGAAATAGGTGCATACACACTCTTAGTGAGAGTGAATGAGTGTGTGCATGCATGTGTGTACAGAGGTCAGAGGGCAACTTTCTCTTTCCATTATATGGGTCTCAGGAACCAAATTCAGGTTATTAGGCTTAGTAGCAATTGCCTTACCTATCTGTCAAGCCATCTCACTTGCCTGAGGTAGGCAGTTTTTTTAAACAGGCTTTGTGTGTCCTTTGCTTTCTGAAACACGTTCATTCCTATCTCAAATGTCTTCCTTCCATGCAACCTAGTTTTCATTGTTACCAATGTCAAACTACTTAAAAGCTAAAATCAACACAAAATAACTCTATTTATATTCTCCCTGGGGTCTGCTTCTCCTGATATGGCCTCTGTTTCCCATTTTCTGACTTGTACTGCCTAACAAACAAAACCAAAAAATTATCCCTTGTTACCCAATATCAACCTCTGGCATTTACCTGTAAACACAAATGTATACCCCATGCAAACAGAGGAAAAGGAAAAAGGAAGATCTTTTCAGGTGATTGGTAAGTGATGATTTAACCATCAAGATTATTGTTTTTTCTTTAAATGCTCACCGTAGGATATCAGCTTCCTTAATATCACTTCAGTTGGATGAATAGCTCAAGAATTGTGATGTGGGGCTGGAGACAATGGGTCAGTGGTTAAAAGTACTGGCTCTTGCAGAGGATGGCGGTTCAGTTCCTAGCACTCAAAACTGTCTATACCTCCATTTCCGGGGATCTGACATCCTCTATGGATTCATACATGTGGCGCACGTATATACATGCAGGCCAAACACATAATACACATAAATTAATTTTAAAGAATTGTGATAGTTATTTAAACTTGCTATTTTGATTTCTTTCAGATTCCGGCCTATTAAAGGAAGGCAAGAAGAGCTAAAGGAAGTAATTGAACGCTTTAAGAAAGATGAACACTTAGAGAAAGCCTTCAAATGTTTGACTTCAGGTGAATGGGCACGGCATTATTTTCTCAACAAAAACAAAATGCAGGAGAAATTATTCAAGGAACATGTAAGTTAAGTGCATTAATGCTGCTCACCTATGTCCAGATAAATAGGAACTAGGTGTAGTAGTTGAGGCAGGAAGATTGTCACAAATTTGAGGCCAGCCTAGATTACATAGTGAATTTGGGTCAGCTAGACTATAATGTGAAGCTCTATCTCCCACCCCCCAAAAATCCCAAAGATTTATAAATAAGCCAGAATATTCATGAACACTGAGATTTCAAGTCTAATAGTGATGGTGGTGGTGATTTAGAGCTTCAGGTTGAACCCAGGGCCTTGCACATGCTGGGGAAGTGCTCTGCCACTGGGCCAGTCCCCAGCCCTTGAGTTAGTTTTTCATCAAATCACTGAATGTAAAGATCTGTAATTCAGAAGGTGTTTTGGCTAATAATCCAAGAGAAAACGTGCTCATCTAGGAGTAAAATTCATTATGAACTTCTAGAGCAGCAGAGCCATTGGATGCTCACATGTGTGAATGTTAGGACTAAAAGTAGTTTTTCACTTCACTACCCAATAGTTTACATGTTGTTGGTGGTATATTTTTATAATTTTGAGAGTGTCTGGCAGAATGGGATAATCATTATCACATTTTTTTCCCCTGCTTTAGGTCTTTATTTACTTGCGGATGTTTGCGACTGACAGTGGATTTGAAATATTGCCTTGTAATAGATACTCTTCAGAACAAAATGGAGCCAAGATAGTTGCAACAAAAGAGTGGTAATTATTAAACTAGTCAAAACTCAGTGCTTTCCTTGAGGGGAAGTGCAGTGTTCTGACCTGTTGATTTAGGTGTTAGTAAAATCAGAAGTCTGAGTGACCTGGTCCCATCTCTAAGCCACAGTGTGTTGAGTCTAAACAAGTGCTCCATGCTTGACTGCTGAAAAGTGGAGGATGCAGGGTCAGTTACCTGGCTTCCAGGGTTAGTTTGAAAGGTTGAGGATGAAGTCTTAACAACCTGAGGTGGATTAACAGGTACAAACGCTTGAATGAATACATTAACCTTAAAAACATGCATGCGTGCCAGCTTAAATAAAAACAGTAGTGGCCATTTTTAATCCCAGCAGAGATAAGCAGAACTATGTGAGTTCAAGGCCAGCCTGGTCTGCATAATGAGTTCCAAGCCAGTCAAGGGTCTCATATATAGTAAGACCCTGTCTCAAAAATAAAGTCAAACCTCAGTAAGAGGCTTAAAAGCCATAGAGAAGAAAGAAAGAAGAGAGAAGGTGTGACTCTTTCCTGTTAATAATGCTTATTCCCTTACCATGTGTCTCAGGAGAAACAGTCCCTCAGATAGATTTTTTTGTTTGTTTTTTTTTGTTTGTTTTTGTTTTCTTTTGTTTATGGTTTTTCAAGATAGGGTTTCTCTGTGCTGTCCTGGAACTCAGTCTGTATATCAGGCTGGCCTTGAACTCACAGAGATCCACCCACCTCTGCCTCCCAAGTATCGGGATTGGGATTACAGGCATGCACCACCACCGTCCAGCTCTGACAATTCTTCAGAATTTCAATAGCAAAAATTTGAGGGGTCAGGTACCTAAAAATAAAATGTGCAAAAGAGCTTTATTCCCAAGTGAGCGCCTGGGGTGAAGTGTACATGAAGTTACTCTGCCTCACATCTGATAGCTCCTGTGTTACAGGTGGCAGGGTTGAGATCTGGACTCGAGCTCACTTTGCAATAAAGTAGCCCCTGGAGTTCTGAAATATAGTCTGTCTCAATGAAGAGATGCTGTATGATAGCCACACCAGAGTTCACATTGTGTTCTCTTTCTCATTTGTAGTTCCCATGATGACTGCCTGCTGAAATAGTATTTGGGATATATATGCTTAAAATACATTAAGAGGAATTTCACCTCTTATTCCTTAATGTGGCTACTAGGAAATTTAAGCTTGTAGTTTGGGCTTGCAGAACATTTCTAGTGAGTGGTGTACCTTTCTGGATGATGACAAACTTCTGACCTTACTACTGTGGGACCCATTTGCAAATGTGTGATATTGTACATTGAGTAGTTGGGCTCTTGCCTCCCATGAGATGCTGATCCAGGCACTGCAGGGTGTTGAGAGTCACAAGTGGCACAGTGCCTGGCCTGGAGGAGTTTCCATTCTCTCATAGGGATAAGGCAGATAAGAAATCAGGCCATGGGGCTCCAAAGAGAACAGAGGATGTTAAGGTGGACTCCGGGTCAGTCAGCAAAGTATGTGGAGCCAGGGCTGATCAGTTTCTGCTATTTAGTGGGAAGGCTTATTTTATTAAAAGAAGCCTTATTATAATTACTAGTAATTTTTATCACATATTTTAAATAGGAAACGAAATGACAAAATAGAATTACTGGTGGGTTGTATTGCCGAACTTTCAGAAATTGAGGAGAACATGCTACTTAGACATGGAGAAAACGACTTCAGTGTCATGTATTCCACAAGGAAAAACTGTGCTCAACTCTGGCTCGGTCCTGCTGCATTTATAAATCATGGTAAGCTGCCTTCTGAGGCGTCTGCGCTGTGTGGGCTGACTGCCCACAGCTAGTGTGGCCTGGCCATACTCAGGGGAGTTTGGAATGGCCATTGTCTTCAGATATATTAAATATGCCCAGTGTAACTTGAGACCTAAAGTGATGGAAATTGTGAAATTGTCTGGAAAGCCTTTTCAGATTCTGTAACTTCGTGTTTCAGATCTTATCAGCAGTTAATTGACTTTCTCTTTTGGACATTTTTCAGATTGCAGACCTAACTGTAAGGTAAGCATAAAAGAAAACCAAATACCTCAGAGATTCTGTGTCTGCCTTGGGTATGAGACTCTTACCAAGTTACTTCTGTTTCAGTTTGTGTCAACTGGTCGAGACACAGCATGTGTGAAGGCTCTGAGAGATATTGAACCTGGAGAAGAAATTTCTTGTTACTATGGAGATGGGTTTTTTGGAGAAAATAATGAGTTCTGCGAATGTTACACTTGTGAAAGGTAAAGGATCAGATTTCCCACTTGAGCTTCATGATGGTTGTGGCGTTGACCTGCCTGACCATCCACAGCATGTGAGTGTAGAGCTAGCACATGTGCTCTGTGGCACAGCAGCTGAGGCAGTGTGAGAAACAGAAGTGCTCAGGAGAAAACAGTCAGTGTAGTCTCTGAGGGTATGCAAAGGAAAAACAGTGGCAATTATAGTAAGTTTCTACATAGGTTGTACATACTTCACTAGAGAAGTTTTGGAAGATAAAATCTGATGATAGGCCCTCAAAATAAGATCTGAGTAAGCCAGGCAGTAGTGGCACACACCCTTGATCCCAGCACTTGGGAGGCAGAGGCAGGCGGATCTCTGTGTGTTTGAGGCCAGCTTGGTCTACACAGTGAGTTCCAGGGCAGCCAGGTCTGTTACACAGAGAAACCCTGTCTCAAAAAACAAAAACAAAAACAAAGATATGAGTAAAAAGAACTGTGATGTTACCTGTGAAGACATAGATATCATTCTTTTCATAATAATAAATTGTTTGAGACTTTGTTTTTAGAATTGACCAAAACTATTTTAAAGCTTACAAAAATAGTATACCTGATGACAACCAAGAAAAACAAATCTAAAGAACATTAGTGGAAACCAGACATGGTTACTTATGCCTATTATCCCAGTACTTGGGAGGCTGAGGCAGATGCACTGGAGTTCAAGGTAAGCGGAAGCTACATAGCAAGCTCTTCCTCAAAAACAAACATGAAAGAAACCTAGTCTCCAGCACCAAACAACAGTAAAAATAAAGGTTAGGGGAGGTTTGGGAATGTAGTCCAGTTGATACAGAGTTGCTCAGGAAACACTAGGAAGATCCCAGAGTTGTATTAGAGCTAGTGTGGTGGCACATGCCTGTAATCCCAGCACTCAGAAGGTGAGGCATGAAAATCAGAAGTTCTGGTCATTCTTGGTACATAGAGTATATGCGACTCTGTCTTTAAAAAAAAAAAAAAAAAAAGGAAAGAAAGAAAAAGAAGAAAAAAATTTAGAGTCGCCTTAACAGATAGTAAAGATTCTTATATTATAAAGTGATTGTGATCAAACTTGATTTATTACTTAGCAGTAGACAATAACCAACAGAGTTCTAAAACAAGTATATATGACATCTTAGTATACATAGGAAGTGAGCAGTACCTATCCTGTGGAAAACTAAAGTTTAAAAACAATATAAAATGATTAGGAAAATATCTGCATAGGGGCTTGAGAGACAGGTCAAAGTTCAAGAGCATGTACTGCTCGCTCTTCACAGGACTTAAGTTTAGTTCCTAACACCCATGTTGGGCTGTTCCTGCAGCTCCAGGAGACCTGACTCCCTCTTTTGTCCTCTGAGGGTATGTGCATTCACATACACATGCATGATTAAAAAGAAAATAAATCTTTACCAAAAAGTATCTGAGTCAGGCATGGTGACACTCACTTTTAGTCCCAACACTCTGAAGACAGAGGCAGGCAGATCTGGTATGAGTGTAGGCCAGTCTTATCTACATAGAGAGTTCTAGGTCAGCTAATGCTATATGGAGAGATCCTGTG